AGCCTCATCTTTTCAGCACATGTAAATGCTGTCCCTGCTCTCCCTGTCAAATGTAAAGGACTCCCCTCCTGGCCAGGAGCCCCGCTGAGCTGCAGGGCAGCTGCATGAAATTCCAGCTGGAGGTAATGAGGTTTCCCTCCACCCCAAATGCTCCCAGGTAAATCAAAAAGAGCTCAGGCAGCTGCTGCCACCCCGTGACATGGCTGGCTGAGGGGACACGGCAGTGCCTCCCCACTCACTTCTGCAGTCCTGCTGCAGGGCGCTCCCATAGTAGCCCTGTTTGCAGAGGTGGCAGTTTTCCCCCTCCGTGTGATACAGGCACTTCACACATGTTCCCGTCTTCTTGTTGCAGGCCTCTGGGTCAGTGGTGTCAATGTTGTTGTTGCACTGGCACGGCTGGCAGGCGCCGCCAACCTCGTCGGGGCTCCCAAAGAAGCCAGACGCACATTCATCACATCGACTGCCTGTTTGAACAAACAGGCACAGTGGGAATTACCATCACGGCTCGCTAGCGCACAGCCCCCTAAACGGCAAGACTGAGGCAAGACAATAAAGGCCATTAATTGGGGGGGGGTGTTAGTTGCTCAAAGCAACAGAGGCAGCGCTTGGTGAGACTGCAGCAGCTTGGCGCAGCATGGATGGTACCACCTGGGGCACCAAGGCACCCCCCGCCAGCACACTCAGCCCCTCGGCTCCATTGCTGTCGTGTCCACTTCTGCTGACCACCGGTCATCCCTTACCACGCTGCTGGGGATGAAGTTCACGGTGGTGCCAGCATTGCCTGCACAAGCCGCTCTGCCCTGGCACCTTCCAAGCTCCAGCAGCAACACATTGATGCTGGTACTGTGGTCACACCCAACAACCCATATAAACATACCCCTTCCCACCGGGAGGTTCAACCCCACCAGCCCCGCTCCATGCTCCCACCAAGTACCTATGTATCCCACACTACAGACACACACGACTTGCAGTGTGACTGGATCCTGGTAACAGCCACTGGCAAACTGGCGTCCGCTCTCGGGGCCGTCAGGGCAAGGGCAGGGGCGGCAGTGGTCGCCTGATCCCAGGACGGGGTCTCCGTAGTAGCCAGCCTGGCACCTGCGCAATGGGGTACACGGCATGCAGGGGACCGCAGGCAAACAGACTGCAGCCTTGCCGTAACTACGCTCAGGTTTTCAACCACTGTGAAGAACCAAAGGGCAGAAACATCCTTACAGGTCTCCCGTGCCACTCATGCTCTGAGCAGCCACAGAGCCAAATTTGTTTGGCTCACATCAGCATAAGAGCAGGAGACCCAAGGCTGATGCCTCTCAAGAAGCTTTCAATGGAGAAAGCCTCTATGAAGCCCCGGGGTCCCGCAACGTGCCCTCTGGCATCTGGGCAGGCACTGCTGGGAGGCATGAGGCCACAGGTAGGGCAGACAGGGTCCCTGCTCTCATCCTTCTCCGGGACCATTAGCGCTGCTCTGGCTCCCAGGGTGCAGGGACTTTCCCCATGGATTCACACCTGCCTGAGCATCAGCACCGGAGGGGAATGGCTGCAGTGCCCATCCTGCCGGGGGGAACAAGAGGGGCCAGGGAGGGGGCTCACATGCTGTACCTCTCGCAGTTGTGCCCTGCCGTGTGGTCCCGGCAGCTCAGGCACTCCCCGGTGTAGGGGCTGCAGTCGTCGGCGTGGCCGTTGCACAGTGGCAGGTGGCAGCTGGGGAAGCCCCAGAAGCCAGGCAGGCAGCGGTCGCACTGCCGCCCGTACACCCCGGGGAAGCAGTGGCACTGGCCTGTCTCCGCATCGCAGAAGGTGTTGTAAGAGCCTCGGACGTGGCACTCGCATGCTGCAAGGAGAGGGAGAGAGTGGCTGCGTTTCCATGGCAAGCCCTAAACACAGGGCCCCGACCATAGCACAGCCCAGAGCCAAAGGTTTAACGTACGTCGGCATCCACTCGGCCCAAACCCAAAGGTGCCAGGGGCGCATCTGTCGCATTGTCTTCCGACGACATTGGGACGACACTGGCACTGTCCTCCGCTGGGGTCGCACACCGAACTCAAGGAGCCCTGGGGGTCGCACTGGCATGCTGAGCAGAGAAAAGCATCAGGGGGAGTGAGTACCACAGTGTAGGACGTTAACTACCTGCCTCATCCCACGCACACGCTTTCCCTGTGCAAACTGCTCTGCCTGCAAGCGCCATCCAGCTTCCAGGCACATTTTGCCCTACAAGTAGGTGGTTACGTACATAACGCGGTCTCGTGTAATAGAGCAGAAATGCTGAATATGATGTTCCTGCAGACATCCGTCATGGGGGTTTTCACAACACTTCTGCTGTTTTCCAGACACCGATATCTTTGGAAAGTTTCCCAAGCGCTGTTCGTGACCACGTCTTCGCCTGAGCCTCCCACTGTGAATATGTCCAGCGATTTGCAGTATGGCATGAGAACAAGCTACAAACAGTTTTACAATGACAAAGTGTCAGTATTTATAAATAGCCTCCAACAAACTTGTGAAAATTCACTATTATCCCACTTCCTATCATCCTTTTTTGGTCAAAAAGCAAACAGCCAGACAGAACTGGGAAGGGAAATGACAGTATTCTGTTGTTTTTGGTGGAATAGTTCTGGTATCTACCAAATTCTTACCAAATCCACCAAATTCTGTCCACTCTAAATAAAAAGGTTGACATTCATGACATATATGGCACTCATTAGCCTCCCCAAAGAAACTACAGGTCTGTAGAACTAGCTGCAGTCCTGTAAAATACAACAAAAACAACCCACATACTTTGAGACTGAAGAAACCCTACAGTGCTTTACATTGTTCAGTTAAAATCTGGCTTCAGCCGTAAGCAACAATGTTGTAAAATATTACTTCAGATTTACACAGACACAACCCAGAAGAGATGCAAACTTTCAGGCTTTTAAATATACTTTTCCACCAGAGCATCCCCGAAATAATTTCTGCTCACAGAGTCAATAAGCGTGTACGGGCTTTCCGTCTCCGTATCCACCGAGGAGTACTGGGGCAGCTCCAGGCGGATGGTGTAATTCAGCCCCTTCTCGAAGCAGACAGGCCGCGGGAGAACGACGTATCTGGGTTAGGAACAGGAAACAATTCTTACTTCAAATGTCCAACACCATAAAGCATTTCAGGTGGCCCTATAAAGCAATCGAGATAACAGAAAGCAGCCAAGACCAGCAGAACAAAAGCTACGATGTGAAAGAGGCGGTTTGGAGGCTTGTGCAAGTCAGAACCGGAAAAGCTTATCGGCAAGGTAAAGAGTCATACCAATGTTCACTTACAGGCTGTGCAAACACTCCCCTCTGCTCTTTACTCAGTGAACAAAACAAATCAGACAATCAGAAAAAACTTAAAAGCTTTGAGTCTACAGACACAATGCTAAATATGTTTTTATAACCCACTGGAAATTAAATTTCATTCATTTTCATAGAGGCCATGGCAAACAGAAAACGTGATGTTACTCTGTTTCAATTTTTTAAATCTTTTTTCTCCTTTTGGCCCATCCAGTTATACCGACCTGGAGCCGGGTGACAGTGAGACGACCTGATTATCATCATCAGGAACTGTATTGCCACACCGGCTACCCGTGGGAATCTTGCCTGGGCGCGAGACGCTGATCACAGCTTTTTCCCACTGATCCGGCAACTGGGGGAAAAAAAGGCTGATCAGCATCAAGCAATGGCCGTTAAGCTCCCGGAAGCATCCAGAGCTCAGGCCAGGAAAAGGGTGTGCACAGACGGGGTGGTCACTCTGCTTCGGGGAGGATGGGGCTGCAGCTCCAGCATCAATGGAGCAGATGCTCCATTAAAATCTGGCTTCATCCATAAGCAACAATGTTGTAAAATATTACTTCAGATTTACACAGACACAAACCAGCTGCAGGTCTGAGACAAGACAAGGCAAGTGCCCCTGTGCACCCTCCAGCACGACAGCCTCTCTCCCTCCCTCCCGAAAAAACATGACTAGGTGTAGGTGGTCAGCAGCCCCATCTGCGGCGCGGCATCAGCAGGGGGTTTGGCAACCTCCTCTCTCCCCACCTCTGGGTACTGCACCTGAATATTTCACTGCAGTCAATTGCTGCCAAGATCTAGGTAAGGAGCTGGGGGGATTTTTCTCTTTCTCTTCACCCTGTGAATTATCCACAGTCAAAACTGACTGCTTGCGAACTCTTGGCTGCAGGCATTCAACATCCAAGACGGGCAATTTGTCTCCTAAGGAGCGTAACAGCGTTTCCACCCATTAGGCAGCCATCTGGCTGATGCCAAATTTATATTCTACTCTGTCAGAGCCTGATCTAGTTGAAGACGTCCCTGCCCACGGCAGGGGGGTTGGACTAGATGACCTTTAAAGGTCCCTTCCAACCCAAACTATTCTATGATTCTATGACTTGTCACTTTTTAATTTGCTCATTAAACAGGTGCTGAAACAACGCAATAAAAGCGACGAAACTGTAAAGCAAATAATACTAGTAATAGTCAACATCTTCTTGGATTTTCACACATCTCAGACATTTAACTGAGTGTCCATCCTTGACTTTGGGTCCTGACGACTCCTGGAAGCGCCAGGCTCCTGTCAGTCGTGCACCAGGACAGCCAGCACCTGCCAGGAGGCAGCAATGCCCATACTCACAGACCTACCTGTGGCTCGTAGCGGACCAGAATATCATACTCCATCGAGTAGGGGATGTTGTCGACGTAGAATTCCAGGTACGCCCCCTCAGGGACTCTTACAAATCCTATGCCTGTCCACGACGGTGTGCGGTCTGGCGTGTACTGGCGCTCTATTATGTTTACTCCCTACAAAAACAGGGAACAGAGATTTTAATACCGATACATTAAATTTGTGAGCCCCACAGGAGTGTGTGAAGTTATGAGTTCTGTTGATGGATCACTTCTGGATCACAGCATCCATCATTTGCATCCCAGAGAACACGAATTCTCTTTTAACCCATGTGCGTGCACACCGTTGCCCTTCCGCTTAACAATATACAAAAAGAAAGAAAGATAAAATAAAACAACACTGCACAACTCTTTGTCCATTTCTCTGTTATAGTGGGGATTTAAATTTAAAAACTTGCTGTGAGTAACTAATCCACCAGCTACGACATCTCATTCATCGTAAGGACTTTCACATCATACTTGTAGCAGTAGGATTTACTGCAGTGGCACATAACTGCTCTATTAACTGCCCAAGCTGAGTGCTAATTACTTCCTGACTACACCCGGCTGCTCCAAACCAAACCACTGCTCAGGATAACATTTGAAAAGCAGATCACGGCTGTCATGAGGAGGGTGTCACTAAATAACAGAGATCCTAATCATCAATAGATACTTAATAGCCAAATCAATATGTGGTCACTCCTTTCAGTCTCAGGTGCCAGGTTTTTATCTGCTACTCTTTATATAAAGAGGAGGAAAAAGGCAACAGAAAATGGAAGCATGTGTTGTTCAAGCTTCCTGTTTCAAATATATCTGCATCCACGAATAGTTCTCTCCATAGAACAACATCCTGTGCATTCCTAAGGTAGCTGCTTCAGTAGAAAGGGATAAAATGTAAGGAAATGTCTATATATATATACACACACATATCACTTCAGGATGTCCCCTCATGTATTCTCACACTCTTTGAAGAAAGCCTGGCTATAAGTTATTACCCTTTGGCTTTGCACAAAGTGTCGGAGCTCCCCAGAAAGGATGGCAGGCGGGACATGAGTCGGGGGGTGCAGCTGTGGGGATCATGGGGGCTTTGTACCACCTGAAAATCCCTGCAACTCTGTGCCACTTCATTTTGTCTTGTGCTCGGCCCCTATCTGGGAATTCAGAATTTTATTCTGCCACCAGATTTGTGAGAAAGCTTTTCAATATCGGCGTTTTTTAAAATGGTTTGTTCTGAAGGTTTCAAAAGGCAAACCAGCAATCCCCTTGCTCTGCTTGGCAAGGTGGGTTTTCATGCCGGGTTCCTCCATCCCCGAGCCTCGGCAAGGCCTCGGGAACCACCTCTCCAGTCAGGCAGACACAAATGCACCAAAAGCCCTGTGCCAGCTCACATGCCGTCCGCTGCAGTCCAACTTCTGTCCTGCGTTGTCTTCCCTCTCTGCAGTTATCTAAGAGCAAAAATCCTCTGCCTTGGCTGAAACTGCAAAGTGGCTGCATTTTGCCTGAAATAAATAAATGAGGACCAAGTGCCCGAATTGCAGGCAGACAAGGATCTGCTGCTTTAGAGAAACCATTATCTCATCTCCCTGACTCCTTGCTGGAGGCAAAAATAATTGATGTAGTCACGTAGCTGCTGTTAATGAATTAAAAGCAAGGCTGTGTCGTGGCGAATGGAAAGAGCCAGAGACCCTGATGTGCCATGCCAGCAGGCAAAACAAGCTAGAGGAAACCTCACTTACAAAAACAGTTTTTTGCACAATCAACTATGGTTTTAGTCATTAATAAAAGAAATGCTACTGATGTACAGAAACTCTAAAAGTCACAGCCATGTGTTTAAATGCGTGCTTTGTTCCCTCCCAGTTTCAGTGGCACCAAAGAGAAGAGCCAGTGTCGGTGTCCCACCGCTCTTGAGATAAGAGGGGAAGGAGAAGTGGGTGCAGTGGGCGCGTACGCAGTAGGGTACAGAGAGTGATGCTGACAGGAAACTAACTGTATAGTCATGATCAAAGAAACAGGTTTAAAAAGAAAAATGGCAGTTTACCCCCCTAAATTACTACATTATTTATCGATACTAAGATTGAAGAGCTACAGGCTGACGGTTTTCTGATCAATTGAGTTTTGCGTTTTCCACATTTTAATTGCAAAACACTCAGGGTATAAAACAGACACTTCCAACACCCAAATGGTGAAACAACTTTCCCACAGCTGTCCAGACACACCAGCCCACTAAAACTGCTACTCACGGGACCCAAGCTGGCTTCCTCCGCCTCGTAGATGTAATGATCGAGTGAAATGAAGTAATAGCCAGGCTCCACCTGGTTGCACTGACGTCCAAACATGTGGGGCCGGCATTCGCATTGGCCAGATTGACTCGAGCAGCTAAAACGGAAAAGCAGTGAATTTACATCATATCTTGGCTACGCCAAGACAGTGCTAGAGCTATCTTCCATTTTGACATTTTAAGTGACACAGGAGGAGAAATGCTTCCGGACACAGATGCGTCTAGGCACGAGATGTTCTCAGGCTCTGCAGCTGGACCATCTGCACTGCTAAAATGGCAGCATGGTCCTGGGCGCAGTCTTGGCTCAGCCCAACTATCATTCTCCCAGACAACTCCTAGGCTCAAGCTGTGAGCGAGCGTGGGCCAAAGACCATTTCCAGTAGGCAGTTTGCATGTGGTTTGGATGGCGAGAGGGTTTCATGCTACGGATGCAGGCAGTTCCCTGAGGCCAGACAGCAGTCCTCGGAGAGCTTCACTTGCTACCACAGACGTAGCCAAGAGGCATGTCTGTCCTGCAAGCTGAGGGCAGCCTTTGGCTCCAGGCTTCCAGGCCATGCAAGCAGCCTATCTGTTTGTATGGGCTCCGGCAAAGCAAGAACATGCATGACCCTGCATGTCCCGTGCAGCTCTTGTATGCTGCAAAGCACATCCCGAGAGGCTGCCCACCAGCAGCTACGCACAGGGGAAAACCACACCTGGCTGCTTTAAAGTAGGACAGACACAGCCAAAGACGTGGGACAGAGCCATCGCTGGGGAGTGCAGAAGGTCTGTCCAGGGTGACATACAGCAGCTCCACTTCTTTCATAACGAGCCGTTTTCTTTTCTCAATACAGCTCTATCCCCAAACTGCCTCTTGGTGGTTTTATTGTCCGCAGAGGGTCTGCCCCACATTATGAAGAACCCTTGGGCAGCTTGTATTTTTGCATGCGCCCAGTCACTTTTTCATAGGAAGTTTTTTTGGTCAACCAAAATACAGCCCCTTCTTTAAATTTGAGTGGAATTTCTAGAAACATTTTCTAAAGTCAAACCCCTCTGGTTTCCATGGATAATCTCCAGGCTTCTCAAGCCCCCATTCGAAGAGTAATTTTTAACTGAAACCATTTTTGAAATTGCAGATATTCACTTACACGTTCACTTTGAGATGCCAGAAGCGCCCTAGCTGCCCCAGAAGGGTGGTGACTCCACCACCTGGGTTACAGCGCAGGGATGAATTTCAGGCAAGGGGCAGCTGCCCCAGGCGCTGCATCCCACACCCGGAGCAGGAGCCAGGAGACGGCAATTCAGCAGTTGAGGAGAGGAGCCCCAAGGAGGGTAAAGCTCCCCCTTCCTGCTCATGTTAAAGAGCGAAGCCAGGAGCCAGAGCCGGGCTTCGCGGCTCTCCTGCGGCCAGAGGAAAGCACAGCTGCTCCCTGCCCACGCCAGGATGCCGCATGTCCCCTCCCCACGTGGTTTTGCAATCACTGGGCTCAGCGCATGGGAAACAGTCTGCAAAGCCTTGCTGGGCTGTGGCTGAGCCGTACCCCAAACCCCTGGAAGCAGCTGCACTGGGGGAGCCGTTATGAGGTGTGCGGCGTAACCGATCTGTGTGCAGAGAGCAAGCATGGAGGAGGAAATAATCACTAACAACTACACCACTGTCTGCCAAGGGCTAATAATTCACTCAGCAGCGGAGGGGAGAGATGGCCTGCGGGACATTCCCACGGCAATCCCTGCTGCAGATGGGGTGTCTGCAGGCTGTGACAACCTATGGGAGTCACACTGGGACCAGTCCCAAACAGTTTGTCCACCCCCTTGGAAAACTTCTGTGGCTTTAGGCAAAAGCAGGACGTTTCAAGGCGTTTGTGGAGGGAAGGGGGCGCAAAAAAAAAAAAAAAAAAGCGCAAAGGAACGTGCTGCTGAAAAGCCTGGGGTCGGACACGCACCTAATGCACGGAAGACTGCTCTGGTCGAAGGAGCCTTCTGGCTACCCAGCACCCCTCTGACCAGGCATTTAAGCCAGGACTTTCCATGCTCTTACTGGTGGATGCATCTTCAAAATCTACGCTTTTCTCTGAAAAAACCTCCACCTCCCCAATGGGCACTTCCAGGTCCACATCCCACCCCACGCAGCACCACTGGGGCAACACAGCTGTACCATGCAGCTAGCACGCTTCCCCCAGTGCTGGTGGACAGACAAACAGACTAGCCAAAGGGCCAATTCAGGAGCAAACCAAGAACCAGCCTGATGGCCCATGTCACCGCCTTATTCCTGCTTTGATCCTATGAGAGCAAAGCTTTGACACAGACCATACCCTGGATTATGGCCAAGGCAGAGCTCAACCCACAGCTGGCTCCTACCCTGGCTGACCAAAAGCAGAGCTACACTAAAAACATTTTTACGTGTTCACTTGCACCAATGGCACAAATGGAGGCTGCTCAGCATGGAAAGGACAAGGATGCCTCTGTCACCCCTTGCTGCAATCAAGAGCTGCTGCTTTCTGCAGCAGAAAGACGGTCCCAAACATCCTCCTCCAGAGCACATTGAGCCCTGGATGTTGTGGTTGCAAATGAACCGAAACTCACTGGGGTGAATGATTACAGGAGAGTAACCAGGCTGAGACTCACTTGTTGTTCAGCGCTCCTCCCTGGTCGCAGTCGCACGGCCGACATCCATCCATGTCGTTGCTCAGGCCCCAGTGCTCAGGCTGCGGGAGGTAACATCACCAACCCTGTAACCCGGTGCCCATTTAACCCCATCTACCCCGAAGGCACATTTTGAAATACTCAGCATAAGCTACCCCAGACTGCCCCCCAACCCATTAATCCTGGTACCCTAGTTGAGGGTCTACCCCCACAACCACCAACACAACCTCCCCACCTGCTCTCCTCCACCTTATTGACCATCTCAAGGGCTTGAGAAAAATCCCCATCTTTCTGCCTAGCTTTAAAAGCAAGATTCAGGAGGACCCAAGTTCAGAGACCTCACTCCTACTGCACTATTTACACCAGTTTGGGCTCCTGACCCGTGAAGGGCTTGGAAAAATCACAGCCCAGTATGTCACACCGCAGCAGAGAGCCACGCGTGGGGCGGTGGGGCTTTGAGCAGGGCACTGCCCTTGCAGGGCTGCTACTCTGCAACTTGCTTGTTGGACAGACAGGCTTGTTTCACTTTTCCGTGTAGTTCACTGTTAGATAAGACAGCCTGTCAGTGTTTATACAAAAACATCTAGTTATCTGACAGTGTGTTTCTATAACACTCCAGCATGCATAAACACTATATGGAAATGTATGCGTACGAAATAATGCCTGCCTAAAATAATGGCCTGTATAGAAAGCAATTTTTTTGGTAACACTGCTCTGACCATCTTGTCTTTCACCCCAGGGAGGGCTCCAGCAGAACTGCCCCAGATCCCTCATTTTCACAGAGCAACCACTACAGGTATTCTAACATCTCACTCCTTACGGTCTCGGGAATTAATCTGGATGCTCTTGTCTGCCTTGACGTGCCTCCCAGCTCCCCGTAACACAGCGTGCTTCACGGCTCCTGACATCCCAGATGCCCGCTCCAGCCTGAACACCAGGCGCCTGCTCGCAGGCAGTCAGAGACGGCAGCCAGCACCTTGCTCCACGCTTTCCGCATGCCAGCCTCCCTCACACCAGCGTCTCCTAATTTATTTTACGGTAAGCCACTTACCAGGCAGTGATTGCACTGCTTTCCTGTCACCAGGCGCTTACAATAGCAGTTTCCTGTCTCCAAATCACAAGGATTCCCCCCGGGGTGGGTACCCAGAGGATTACATGCACAAGCTAGATTGGGAAATACAAATAGGCATGTCAAAACACAGGATTGGAGTTACATTTTAGACAGTATCCAACTTAAATATTTACATTAAAGCTTCCCCTGAATTCCCCAGGACAGAGATTAATTGCACACTTTGCCCACCACCCATCCCAGCAAAACTCCCCTGGCTTAGAGACTTATAATTAAAAACAAATACGGAGTATTCTGCTATTTCCACTGAATACACTAGCAGGATCAGCTGGGGAACTGAGTTTTAAGGGCGGGTGGACTCCAAGCTACGGCAAATCTACAAGAATGTTTTTCCCTTAGCAAAAACATGAAACAAAGGAAAAAAACCACCCCACAAACCAACTTCTCCCGGCTCTAACAGTTCCTCAAAGAGCTTTTGATCACACATAAAGGAACATATGTTTTTACTTACACTGACAACCCGCTGGGTCATCGGCACTTAGGCCATAGAAACCTTCTTTGCAGAGGTCACAACGCTCCCCTTCGACAAATAATTTACAGCGGCATTGTCCGGCAATGAGGCCAGTGGAGAAATCGGTGTAGCGATCGCAGATGCCACCATTTTGGGAGCCAGCTGGGTCACAGTTGCAAGCTAAGAAGGAACCATCGTGTGTGTTTTATTATAACTGCTACAAAAGAAAAGGCCAAGTCTCACACTGAATTATTTAAACTCAGCTGCTGTATAGAGAGAGTGTATCAGTGCTGTGCAGAGAGAGTTTGGACATGAGGAAAAACTTCTTTACTGAAAGAGTGGTTAAACATTGGAACAGGCTGCCCAGGGAAGTGGTTGAGTCCCCATCCCTGGAAGTATTTAAAAGACGTGTAGATGAGGCACTAAGGGACGTGGTTTAGTGGGCATGGTGGTGTCGGGTTGATGGTTGGACTCGATGATCTTGGAGGTCTCTTCCAACCTTAATGATTCTATGATTCCTGCAAGTATTAGACATGACATGGGTTGAACACGTAATGACCAAATAAACTTCCAGATTCTTGAAGAGAAAACAAAACCCAGCCAGGTTTGCTCAAGACCTCCAAGACAACCACCTTACCTCAAGGATCTTTGTTCGGGAGCACTGCACTGGCCAAAAGAAGGCCAGTAAATCCTAAATTCTCCAGGGAAAGCCCTAGGGGGCCATGGCTGGGATGCCACGGCCATTCCCACCCTGAGGAGCAGGGCTGCACTTACGCTCACAGACGTCAGGGTCGCGCAGATCTCTCTCCGGGTGCTGGAAGTAGAAGGGCTTGCACTGCTCACAGTTGCGTCCTATGGTGTTGTGCTGGCAGTCGTCACACACTCCCCCGCTCGTATTCCCCGTCGTCATGTACACAGCCATGTCAAAGTGGCACTGGCTGGAGTGGCCATTGCAGTTGCACTCTGTGACAAAGACAGAAAGCAAAGTAAGAGTCTGGTCCCAGGGGAGACGCAAGTCTGCAGCAAAGACACACCAAAGTCAACCAAAGAACATGCAGAACATATATTGCCACAAGTTCCCAAGTAAGAGCATGTAACGCTCACACCAGACTCCAGTTCTGCATTTTACTCAAACTCACTTTTGCATGCGTTACTATTGCGGCCTTCAGCAGGTCGCCAGGGTAAGTCATGGTAGAAATCCAAACACTGTTCACAGTTTAACCCTTTGGTATTATGTCTGCACATGCAGTGCCCATGGACCTGTCATTAAAAAAAGAAAAAAAAAGAAAAAAAAGAGGAATATAGTTGGTTATAAAAGAGGAAGGGAAAGAAAAATCATGCTCCAATTAATGCAAAATATAGGTAGTACATAACGGATATACTTTTGGAGACTTTAATGCACGTAACTACATGTAGGAAGACATAAAGGGCCACAGGAGCGTCCTTTACCTGCCAAGGTAAGAATGTCTTCATACAAATTTGTCCTTCTTTCCTTACCGGAACTAATGCCTGAATAAACGCTTTCAGACATGAACAAGGAGAGCACAGTTCCACCTCAATAATCACAAAAGCCTCTTGGACCTAAAAGTTAGCTGTTTATTAGCTGTTAAGTAGCTATTAACATGCATCTAGTTATATCAGCACGTCACTAGCCCAGCGCCTTCTTTCCAGCCCTACCTTGGTTCTCAAAGCAAAGATAACAGACAGTTTGGATGGGTTTTATCCATCAACCCCAGACTTTGCTTTCAACATGTACAGAACAAGCACTAAGCAGACCAACAGTGATTGTATGACAGCTGCTGCCATAGACAACCGGGACTACCAGCACTGGAGCCATGATTTTAAAGGCAAAGCCAGTCTTGCTGCTGCTTGGGTGGAGACACTCACCAAAAGCAGAGGGCAACGGAGCGTACCCGCTCGCCAGCATCCTGTCCTGGGACAACCCACACAACCTCCCCGTATGCCTCCACATTTTCATCCAGTTAATACCTCACTCATTAACAGGGGTGCTATTACTGCTTGTCAGGCAAAAATCATGGGGAAAACAAGAACCCAGAAGGGATGTGGCACTTGCACAGCAGCGTCCAACGCAGGCAGCAGGATTTTCCTTCAGACCCTGCTGTTAATTAGGGCTACAGCCTCTACTGCTCAGCTGATAATGACTGATACAAATGCAGGTCATGTTTGATTCACAAAGGTGTTTCATCCTTTGATGCCTCTATTCGCTTCAATTTTAGGGTAACCAAGTCGACACACACACCCATCTCTGGCCCCATAGGG